ACCGAGTAAAAATATATAGTGATACTACACACCAAAACATCTAATAATATATATATAATTCTCCAAATTAGAGATCTTCTCTTGTTGCGTCAAGAAAGCATTAAATGCTCAGTTGAACAAACACATGAGGTCACACCTAATACCTAACTTGCTTGGCCCACTCCTCTTTCCAGCTAATTAATAAAACTTGGCATTTTATACAGTCCAGTCCTGAAATTATGTGTTCAGTAGACTACTTACATCATCAGGTATGGTGACAACTGCCCCTTTCTCCATAAGCAGCCTCACAGCATCGCTGTTTCCCTTTTCTGCAGCAAGCTTTACAGAAGTGTTTCCATACTGTAAAGAAAAGATCATGATATGCTCCCGCTTCATAGGGCTTAACTTAACTTTTTTTTGTCAGTAGTTTTCTTATTTAATGAATTATTAACACAAAAGATGTTGAAAGGCTCCTTCAAACACCCTCTAAAAAAAAGCTTGAAGCTTATAATAAGACTGTATGATAAAAAATAAAGTTAAACTGTGTACTTGTTAAAAAAAGAAGGCATGTTGCACTGTGACACTTGTCACACAAGGTAAATTGCCCTCTTGTGAAGCCTTTGTTTATAACATGATGATCAGAAATGTATATAAAACAAGTTTTCTCTTTCTCTTATACAGTGTGCGAAGAAAGTTGTATCCGATAGCCCAGAGCTCTTGGATTACACAACAGGGTTAGAAAACTCTCTACTTTGCTTGCCTGACAAGTAAGTGAATATCAAGACCTAATCTTACACTTGGCTTAAGCAAACAAGAAACAAAAACACATAGCCTCTCACCCCATCTTTGGCATTAACATTAACACCTTCACATTTTAGAATTAATGCAATTATGTTAGTGTCGTCATTTTCATCACAGGCAGTATGAAGGGGCGTGCGCAAATGCTGGAAAAAAATTAAAATGGAATTATTATAAGACATAAGGGCACTTTACACAGTATAATGTATATAGATTATCATTCCAGATAAAGTGAAAATTCTGTTCTTGACCAATGCTAAAAATTATAGGAGTCAGCCCTAGGTGGCTCATAAATCAGTGCTGTCACTTTTTCAATTTTTGGCAAGTTCCAATTGGCCATGGTCTATTGTTACTATACCTCAATGGCAAATTGGCCATGATTCCATAATTTGTATCCCTCAGTGTTTTATCAGTTTGCCAGGTAGTAACCTCCTTTGTGGCCTTTTCTGCCTCATCATGCAACGCCTCTCCCCACAAATAGCTGGTTCAGTCTGAACCTAATTCTTCTGCAGTTTAGCCAATCACAGCTTTCCTCAATCATAAAATCTTCCATCTGTCATGCTAACGTTTACCAATTATACTGAGCAAAAGCTGCATCTTATTGCGATCCCAGGGTCAGAAATGTCTAAAAGATTTTAATGACGATGTCTTAAATTGAATACGACAAAAACACGACTGATATAAAAAGCCAGAGTGAGACAGGCACCAAAGTTCAAGAATTGAGGTTATCACGTCTTGGTACATGGTAGGCATCAAATTGCCTATGATTACTGTACAGGCCAAAACAAGAGGAATGTAGTTCAAGTTTAAGCAGCTGTTGTTGGAAAAAAGTGTTGCCTAAAAACCTAAAAAGCAGCTGCAAAGGAGATTACTCTACATGTACCTTGGTTAATAGTCCCCTGGTCATATTAACCCCTAAGGGTAAAGGGAAATATGGAGAGAAAGGTCATTGGCACAAATCCACAACGGTACATGAACCACCCTTTGAGCTAAAGGGGTTAACTGCAGTAAAGATGTTGGCTGGGTTGATAAATTTATTTTCCTTTCTTGCAGATTATAACAAATAAATATGAGAGAATGGAAAATGGCAGCCTGGCAAATTCAACTTGTACGTTTGGAAAATTAAAAATCACAAAGAAGCTTGCTTATTAACTTAATAGTAGCAGAGCTCCGGTGGCTTAGAGGGCCGCCAAGCGGAGCCCCATACTCATATAGGAAAGAAAAGGAAACCCATGAATTGATTTTTTCATG